TGTTACTCAAGGTTGAATGAACATTTGTAATATATTTCTCATCGGACCCTAACTCGTCATCATTAGAAATCATGCGGGGGTGGGGCGTGTCGGGCTGTCGGCGTGTGTCTATCCTCAAGCGCTGAACAAAAGATTTGGTGGTTGACTTTTATCAAGAGTTAGTAGACTTGTGTAAGTTAAATTTAATTGTTTTAGGCATTATATTGAAGTGAGAAACCTGGCCAACAAACAGAATTTAAACCGGTTAGTTAATAATTGTTCTTAGAGTAGTACTAGGTGAATAAGAAGTGAATATATTATTGTCTCTCATGCATACATTATTTCTGCTTATATAAAAACTATCTGAAACTTATAACTAAAATCAGTATGTATTTATTAGTCAAATGGACCTTTCACATAAAAAGGTCGTCGTTTATTGTTTCCTTTAAGAGGAATCGTACAGTGCCATTTTCAGTCTTCTTTTCAATTTTTCTCAACTTTGCAATTGAACGTAAAATTCAAAATTAAAATTGCTAAGGCTCTGGAACCGTTTGGCATAGCATTATACCATTTTCAATAATAGTTTTGTACATAAAGTTTACTCCAATACTCTAGGAAACATTGATACTTATTTAGCACCACCCCATAATTTTTGTTCATATTTGTATGTGCACAGCTATATTAAAAATTGAATACAAGCTATCACAATGACAAAACGCAGAAATGTATACAATTGCTTGAGAAATCTTAATCTTTTATCTGATTTTTAAAATACATTGTGGTAACAACGTTATAGAGGTTTAAAAAGGTGCTAGTTTTCACACCTTTTCGTGGTTTCCATGGCAACCAGAAATGCTATTGGCGGCTATATAATATTTTTGTCTATAGGTTAACAGCTATTAATATACATGTTAAATACAATTTTTTTTTCATCTGTGGGATATATCCTTAAAATATACGACGGATACACAAGTGATTTTTGTCATACGATTATATATGTTATGCAAATGGTTGTGGTTATCTAATATATATCAAATAATTTATTGTTTGTTTATTAACCACAGAATTACTGATTTTCTATTGGCGGGCCACTGCAGCAATGACTACCTTAAAATATACGATGGTCCTACAAATGCGGCTTCGTTATTTGGTACCTTCTGTTGGTCAGATTCCCCTGGGCTGATGGCTTCAACCAGCAACTATATGTTCATTGAGTTCAAAACTGATGGCTACATGAGATATAAAGGCTTTTATGGAAATTACGAGATCAGAGGTAACATTTTAACTTAAAAGTCCAAAACTACTCTTAATAGTATTTAACTTTATAGGCAATGAATGTTTTTATTCGTAATTTGGTTGATCTTAGTACTTTCTCGTATATGAAGTAAGAGGACGTGTTAGAATCGTGCAAAGAATCGAAATCAATATTTTCAACAATCTTTACGTTTTACACTTCACTTAGTCGATAAAACTAGTTTGAAAACCTAGTTTGAAAACTTCCTTAGATTGTAGACCAAACAAATAATGATCCCGAAAAAAATAAAGTTCAGGAAAATCCTTTAACCCCTTAACGCCGACAGTCGCGTTTTCGCAACATACCGATTTAGCGCATAGCATTTGCGCATATGTACATTTATCCTACTGCTGTCGGTCGTTGTGTATTGGGTACATCCAGACGGTTGTATTGGTACCAGCGGTCACGTTGAAATTTATGACGTCACACTCTCTTGACTCACGCGCATCGTAATTTTTTTGACTTCGTGAATTCAGCCTACTTACATTGATTATTATTACTAAATAGGTGATCCGCTTCTGCTACAAAAAATACTAATAGCTTTATTATTCATTCTTTTATGTATATAAACAATATAAATCACATATGAGAATAATTTTGGAAGTTATCTGCTAATTACGGTTTGTCGCGTTTTCGCGACATCCGGCATTTAGACATAAAATGGAACTTGGGTGCCAAGCAGATATAACGAAATACGATGCATCGCCAAGCTGTCATTCATTCAAGTATGATTATAAATAAGTAAAGTATTTACAATATGGTCTTCGCCTATATATAAAACTGCACTTTAGAACGTTACGGACCATGTGGTAGGTGAAGTAGAGTTCACCTGTTTCATTGATATTAGCATATGGAGAGAGAGTGATGCTTGAATAATGTGATCATGTTGCTGGGTACAATATAACGAATTTAGCTTTGAAATAGTGTTGTATAATATTAGGAGAACATAAAAAACAAAATAGACAACAGGAAGTGAGGTGGTGGACCACTATCCTGGATACCACGAAATAAAGGTCTTCACGGTGACCTTGACAATAATTACATTGAGCATAGACCTACACCTCGTAATAAATACAGTAAGGTTGAGTGCTGACACGCATACCCTTTGCAGTGCTATTGAATAACCACATTAGTGGCATTATACTGGCATTTAGTACCTACAGCAGTGTTATTGAGTACCCACATCTTCAGCACTGAGTACCAACATCAGTGACACTGAGCAACCACAGTTTGAGCAATAAGCACTCACAGCAGTGCTACTGAGTACCCATTGCTAAGGATGAGTACCTACATCAACGTTATCGATAACCAGCAGCTCCAGCGCTGAGTACCCACAGCAGTGACACCAAGAACCGACTGCAGTAACACTGAGTACCCACAGCTTCAAGAGTGAGTACCCACAGCTTCAGCACTAAATACACATGGCTTCAACACTCAGTACCCACTGTTTCAGCACTGAGTACCCATAGCAGTGGCAATATGTAGCTACAGCACTGTGTTTGGTAATCAATATCAGAATCAGTTGAGAACAATAGCCGTAGCACGAATTGGAAACATAGGGTACCATCAACAATAGCAGTGAGTACCCACACCGGTGGCACTGAGTACCCACAGCAGTAACACTAAGTACCCACAGCAGCTGCATTGAGCATGGACGAATATACAATGGCTGAACACTGTCATTTAGGACATTATTTGTTCACGTGATTTGTGTGTATAGCAAATATAGGTCTAATGAGAAATATGCGTCTTTATTAGTTGACCTTGAATAAGAGTTCACGAAAATTACGTAACCGGGGACAACTAAGGCTCTACACATTAAGGAAGTCCTTTCATATGTAGTGTGTTACTGTAGTGTAGTAGAATTACGACAGCAAGACATCAAAATACCTATTCATAAGAGTTAGTCAGTGAGCAGGTGCAGCAGAGTTATGTAACTCTATGCCTGAGCTAATAAAATATAGTTTTCATGAGTTTTGTAAGTGATTCTACATCTCCTTGCATGTCCGTATGTTTAGTTTGTGATATTTTATTGTTTGTGCATGGATATTTAGAGAAACATGTGACAGCAAAAATAGTAAAATGACCCGGACTAAAAAAAGTTAAATTACTGTTTGGTCCATAAGTGCCTGATGTCGCGTTTTCGCGACATACCGTAATTATCATCAAAAATAAGTCAAAATTCAAAAACAACTATATACCTCAAATTCAGTGTCAATATGATGAGAGAAAATCAGCACAAATAATTTTTTACACGCTTGGAACATAATTCAGGCATTAAGGGGTTAAATTTGTCAAAGCTGACTAGAGGCTGTATTTTCTTAAGTAATAGTTAATATTCCATCACATTGTTAGCAATGAAGATGATTATTGTATTATATCGCGTATATATATATATATATATATATATATATATATATATATATATATATATATATATATATATATATATATAAAAAAATATTTGTGTGTGTGTGTATATATATATATATATATATACTGGAAGAGGGGAGGTGAGTTTCCCGAACTGGGAAACCCAAGTGCAATGTTTGCTGCGAAAACACCAGCGTTCCGAACCCGTTGCCACGCATCTTAGGCAGCCTGAGAGGGATTGCCTATGAGCAGGTAAAGCAGGCTGCAAGTCCAGAGGAAGTGCTAAGCCTACTACAAAGCGCTATTGGCGACACCCGATGTGCCGATGACAGGTATCTGCAGTTCAGCCGACTCACTCCACAACCAAGAGAGTCACGTCGGAATTTCTCTGCCGACTGTGGTCAGAGATTACGAGGCTGAACCAGCAGCGTGTTTTTACTGCGGCCGACGCCCAGAAGAAGGTGTATCACGCCTTCTGCAAGGAGGTTTCAGCTCTTCTGGCGCTCGAACTTTGCGGCACATTTGTGTTCGCAGGGGAAGCCAGTCCGAAGGTGGAGGACGTCCTGAAAGCTGTTAAAAGGCTGGATGGAACAACTGAGTCCCCAGTCGTAGCCACGGCATCAGCTAACAAGACTATCCAGGTCGACGCAGTAACGGCAGCTGTTCGCCAAGAGACGACGCCGCTGATGCTCACGGAGGAACAACTCGACCGTCTGGCGGAGAAGGTAGCAGACATCCTAGCCCGGAAACAGCGGCCCTCCAGAGGAGCTTGTTACGGGTGCGGATCCAGAGAGCACTATGTCCGCGACTGTCCGAGGAAAGCAGCTAGGCAACGGGGTCAGCAGCAGGGAAACGACAGTCCATCAGCGTCGGGAAGCGGATGCTGATGCGTGGTCTGCCAAGCTCCCAGCCCAAGTTTACGCCACCGAGATCATCACAGTGTCGAGCAACCACAGCTCAGGTTGCCTCGCCTAGTGGCAGTAGGTACGGCTGTCGGTGTTCCGCCGTGGAGGAGGGTTGCAGCCGGACGGTGCGAGTGAGGAGGGTAGACAGCCACACCATGAATGTTAGTCTCAGCGCGAGCAAGATCGTCGCTTGGGAGACAGACATGACACAAGCAGAGGTGGAGAGGCCGGCGACGCGGTAGACGCCGCCGTGGTTGGCAGCGACCCGACTATACAATGTCGAGTTCAGAAACGACAGTAGTTGAGGGGGAGCGACGGAAAGAGATCATCCCAACCAGGAAGACAGATGACGGTGATGAACTGGCAAACAAGGTGATCCCAACCAGACTTCGGCAGGCGCAACGCCTTTCGGGCCAGAGGTGGTCGCCCGGGACGGGCAAGAATAGGTGATGGTCAGGCCAGCCCCACATATGGACGAGGTGAATGCGAGGGACGAGGCATCGGACGAGGATGACTCTTTGATCAACCCAGAACCACCAGCGGAGCTGCGGAGGTCAACCCGGCAACGACGACCCGTCGAGCGACTCAACCTGGCGCATCAAGTGGTGACCAGTACCAGCACTGGAGCCTCTACCGGTTTGCCGGGAATAATATATTTGATTTGTTAGGACTTAATGTCTGTGTACTACTGTACTGAATTTTTTAAGTACAATTATTTTTGAGTTGTAAATGTAAATGTAACTTCCATTGTACATTTATTTGTGAGGGGGGCTGTGTAACACATATGGTTACCAGCCAAGGGCGGATAACAAATAAAGTTTTAATTCATTGAGTTGCGGCCCCTGTGGGGCCGTAGCCCTGTTGACGTAGTTGTGTTGCATACTCTTGTGTGCGATGTTACCTGTTACTATGGGTAGTCAGTCACACGCAAGGCAGCTGTCTGTGGACACGGTGACGGTACCAAGATGTAGATCCAATGAAGGCTACAGTCTCTCTCTCTTTCTTCAGTTTTTTACTTCCTTTTTCCTATTTTGGTATTCATCTGTAATCGTCGTACTACTGTGTTCTGCATCGCCGTCATGGCTCGATGCAGTGAATAAAGCCAGTACTTGACAACAACTGTCGGTGTCAGTGTGTCCTACATCTCAGGGTCAGCCCATCTTAACCAAAACACCTCAAGGGGTTAAAGCATTCCCACTGAGTGAGGGTTACATATATATATATATATATATATATATATATATATATATATATATATATATATATATATATATATATATATATAAAGAGAGAGAGAGAGAGAGAGTGAGAGTGGGGGAGGGCCAAAAGGGTGGCCCCTTTTTTCTAGTTCCGCCACTGCAATGAAACTATCCTAGCTACGCTACTGCCTAATATTGTGTCAAAAAATGGTCTTTAAATCCTTACTCGTTAAACAAATGTAACCTCGAATTCATGTAAGACTTAATCCTCTTATAACACGTTATGGTTATGTGAACTGAATAATCTATTCTACATGAAGGATAACAGATAACACAATACTGCATTTTAATGTAGAGGTAAATATTCAGCCAAACATAAACATTGGTCAACATATGTTCCAAATTAAAACTAAAAAGACAAAATAATTTTTCACATTATCATTCTAGTTCAGTGGTTCCCAAACCTTTTCAAGCGGTGGAACCCCTTTTATAAAAAGTAAGTGAACCGCGACCCACATAGAATTAAAAGTGATCTGTATGCATGTTTTTGCACAGTTCTTTAAACAGACGGATGTTTAGAGCTCCACATTTGATATAATTTACGACTTTTATTAGCTATGGGGTTGGAAGAGCCTTGCTGGCGAGGACATACCCGTGAATCATGCAGTGGATTCCGACCGTGAAATCCTTTCGAGTTTTAGTTTCTAACACTTCTCCAACTAAAAATTAAAATGGAGAAAGAAATTTAATTTTGAGAATGACATAAGGTTGGCGTTAACAAAAACTTAACCGCGAATGTTGAGGCTAGTTAATAACATGACATTTTACTCATCGTATTAAAACAGTTAGCAAGAATAGTTCATATTCAAAGACTCAAGAAAATCTTATTTTAGTGCTTATTAATTTCATTTCTAATTTCGACTTTAAATTCTATGGGGGTCGCGGTTCACTTACGTTTTATAAAATGGGGTCGTCACTTGAAAAAAGTTTGGGAACCAATGATCTAAAAGTCTTATATGCATTTTAAGGCAAATTAGAAAAAAATCAAAGGATTTTTCAGGTTTTGTTAATGTTTTCGCATTATCAGTAAAGTTTGACTTTGTAAAGTACAAAAGGTTTAACCAGCGGAAAATGTAAGCAAAATGTACAATAAAGAAACACACTTATGTAATTCACTCTTAAACAGACCAATACAAATGACACACATATTTCCATTAGCAGTATTGCTTTGTAGTAAAAAAAAAGCAACATTCAGATCTGTTGCAATCTAAACCGAATAATCGTTTTTCCGTATTTTGTGCCTATGTTGTCTGTTCATAAACATATACTTTTAATAGAAAGAATAGTGTAATCAGTTTTATGCCTAGCAACTTTTTCGACTACCTAAAGAGTCTAGACTTGACTATACACTCTAAAATTATCTATGCACCTTGTATTAACAAAAGCTTACTACGACAATAAATCAGGATTGTATGAAAATTACGAGATCAGATGTTAATGCGCTTACATAAGCCAAACGGTTTTCGAAAGAATGTCGAGTTTTTTGTTGAATTAATGGTCGTTTTTTTGGTAACCAATTATTTTTTATTCTTATAAAGCTAAAATAAATTTATATTTAAGCCCGATTCGATATTTTTCTCAAGCTTACATTGCCCTATGTTATGTAATAATTCCGTAATTGCGTTTTATTTACACATGATCCTATTAGGAAAATTCATGTTTTGAGATTTCGTAAATATATCTTTGAAATGTAAACATTTGTTTTATAGATTTAAATGAGACCTTAAATGCCACAACTGGAAAGATAACCAACGTAGGAAATACTTCGAGTTCTCCTGCAACCAACAATACATGGACTATTCGAGGACGCAGAGGAACCATTATAGCTTTCAAGTAATGTTTATCTTATAATTTTAAGACATTAGTATTTAAATAGCATTTACAGACAGTTCTAATTTAATATTGTTTCTAAAAAAATCGGTTTTTGTTTAACGCTTTTGCTCCGTGTATTGAGGGTTGTGAGGCTTCATGTGAAGATACTTGAAAATGTACGCTTTTTTTTGGTAACTTTACTGATAAACGATATTAACTATTTTTGTATTGAAAATATCTGAAACTATGTGTTGATTGTAAGGAAATTTAATAACTTTGTTATTGTGGGTGTGTCAGCTTAAAGTTGTGTAGTAAAAAGACGATAACAAATCTGTAACATTGGTTATGTAGGGACGAATATTCCATATCATTTAAATGTTAAGAAGCTGATAAAATATATATTACTATCGGTCAGCCTGGGAGCTAGATCAGACAACAGAAGATTTAGTGAGGTCCGTGTATCGAACAGACGAAACAAAACAGTCATAAACGTCACAAAGACCTGTCATTAACAAATACCGTAACGTCACATCTAGTAGCATTTATTCTTCTATATTTTCTTTTCCTTAACTATTGATATTTAAGCCAAAAATATAAAAGATAAAAAGGTATGTAACTCTGTTTAATATGCAGTATCTTCTTCTTCTTCGTTCTTAATTTTAGTGTTGGGAGGGATCGAGCCTAATCTGACAGAGACTCGAGACTTTTTTCGAATTTATCAACCATGAGCTTTGCAGACTCGACCATGCTTCCATCACAATTAGGGATTACGTGTCAACTGGTTATGCGCCATTGAGGCCATTGACTCCGATTTCAGCCTGCGTTTCTTTTTTAATTTGCATCCATAGCCTTTGTCCAACCAAGAACAAACTACAAGGCAGCAGTTGTTTTTTTTTTTAGTTGTCTCTCCCGGAGGAGTGGCTGTCCCCAGCTAACGAGCCTCATCTGCCCTAGGGTTCGAACTCGAGACTTTTCGGTTTAGCAGCCATGAGCTTTACCGACTCGACCACGTCAATATGCGATATGACTGCCTAAACTCAAACGACATGAATGGGTGTAGGAGCTTATAAATGAATGTCCCTCTACTGGACTGACGTAGTACTAATAAACGGTGTTAAGCTTCTGATCACGTTACAAGAGGGTCGTCGTCTACTGCAGGGGTCTTCAAACTACGGCCCGCGGGCCATATGCGGCCCGCGAGGTCCTCTCATCCGGCCCGCGGAGATCTTTTTGTCCACGGAAAAAAAATTCTGTTAGAGGTGGCTGAGGAACTTTGCCCAGAAAATTCAAAACAATTTGAAAATGTAGCTATGGCTGCAAATACCTTTGCCCACCGTGTTGCAGACATTGGTGAAAACATCTTGACTAAAATCGCGAAAATGCAAGCACGTATAACTATTTTTTAATTGCAATGGATGAGTCGCTGGAAAGCTGTTCCACCTCTCAACTGCTTGTGTTCATTAGGGGTGTGGATGAAGACATGAACATAACACAAGAGCTGGCTACCCTACATAATATGTATGCCACTGTTACCGGAGAGGATATATTCAATGAGTTAAAGAAAACATTAGCTGATTATAACTTGGACTGGACTAACCTCAGTTGCCTGACTGTTAATGGGGAAAAGTACATTAGTTGCATAAAGAAAGGCTTGGTTGGACAAGCGAATGAGAAAAATATTCCACAACCAATGCTTCTGCACTCTATTATTCATCAGCAAGGTTTGAGTGCAAAATATATGGACATTGGCAGTATACTGAATCCTGTAATGAAGTGGCGAATTTAATAGGTCACATGGGCTCAACCATAGATATAGAATATGTGAAGAATAATTTGAGAGCAAACTTGGACCTCGAGTGTGTTGTCGCCCTTCGACTGTGTTTCTTTCAGATTTTTTTTCTCTGGGGGGGGGGGGTGTATGCGGCACTTGAAATTTGTATATATTTCTGTATAAATTATATTTTGGAGGGGGGGGGGGTGTAGACGTTTTTTGGAGGGGTTAGTGGTGCTCCATAACACCGAAGATATGCCTTGAAGAAACTCTGGCCCCCAAACTGATATTTGATAGCTAAAGCGGCCCTCGGTCTGAAAAGTTTGGAGACCCCTGGTCTACTGCTTCTATTAATATTATCTCTTTTGTGTTGTTAATCTCACCACATCTTTTATAGGCGTTGTCTTTATAGCTTCTATACCAGCGTCTCTCAGGTTGTGATATCATCCGTTGTACACCTCACTTCCTTTCTTTTATTTCGCTCTTATTTTTTGGTGCATTCTTGCTATTCTCCCGAAGGTGAAGATCAGATATATCGTCTTCAACGTAAGATTATTATTTGCCTATGTTTCTTTCTATTTAGCCCTGAAGCGTGTTTCTTGTTTTAAGTATTTCCCTCCATGTCCATGAGCCATAAAGCAAAATAGAATTCACATTGATGGGAATGATTTGTATTCTGTGACATTTGGTTTCCACACAGTTTTAGTACTTTAAAAGCATATAATCCTAAATTTTTCTAACTTAATCGACGTGTTAGCTAAAACAGTTATTAGACAGATTTAACTGCTTCTTCATTAGCTGCTGATTTTCTGAGAATGTAGAGATGCAGAGATCATCCAAGAAATCCCATTCTAAATGTATTATTGCCCGTGCTTTCCGTTTTTTACGAGCTTGTATTTAGTTCGAAACGTCTGTTTGTTTGTTTGTTTGTGGGTTTGTGTTAAATCTTGCAACTCAATTTAGACTTACTTTTAATACAGCGACTTCTTTCAAACTTTCCAAATACGTCCCCCTTTGATGACAATACAAAAATTATCTATTTTTTTAATTTAAGTAGATGTTTAATCAGTCATTAAAAATTGATCAAACGGATTCGAAAATAAGTGCGCTACCAAAATTAAATCACACCATATATTACTATATTCAATAACATAATGTAAGCAACTAGATCGACTAGATCACCTTAAAAGTCTGGTGAGCTGTGAATTATATAATTGAACTTTAGCTATATCTGAAACGTGAAAAAATGTAGTTTTCTAGTAAGCTACGAAATTGTTTACAGAAGAACATTTTTATTACCTGATCCCCTTTATCCACCACATAATGTGGCCAACTGACCTGCATCCTAAAATATACAAATCAAACCATATGTGTAACCTGTCAATGATCAGCCAAAACTCACAATTGCATACCCTACTATTGGCTTATCCACAATCATAATGTATTGTCAAGACAAATATATACTATTGAACATATTCCTAACCATTCTCTTATCTATGGAAATATTAGATAACACAGAAACAGTTTAATGCATTTTATTGTGAGCATTCTTTATATAATATGTCTTCTGGATGTTCATTATCTTAACGAGACATTTTTAAATAAGCATGACAGCTTTAAAGCTGTAGCGTGATAGTTAAGCTTGCGCCTCAGTCCATTGTGGAGCATAGTGTAACCTCTTGCTTCAAATCTGTCAAAATAAATGTGTTTATGATCCCAGCATGTATTATAAGTCCTTAAAACCTGTAAAATGTAATGAGGTGTGAAATCAAACCATCCCTAAGACGGATGGGTTATTTGTGTAGGTTTACATAGTTATTGGTAAATTGACATAATGTATGTCACAATATCCACTGAATAGCAGAATTAAAAAACACAATAGGTTTGAGTTAGCATCTATTTCAATGTACTGTCTTCTGTCCTTCATCTCAGCCAGCTGAATTCCTGGTTCTTTCTCAAGAAGTAAAAGTCCCTGTTGATAAGAGAGATCCATTCCCTCCTTTTCTCCTTTATAATTTCTCAGTTCTTTTGAAAAAAAATGTAAATATAGATTTTATTTTTAAGTTAAAGTAAAAATATCAATATAGATAGAAAAAAGTCTTTCCTGTTTGCTTTCTAAATGATTCTATAAATGTGCCCATACAGTGATTGAATAAGTGAGCTATAGGTATTTTCCATGATGTTTGCACGCTTCCATTTTGTCGTCTTCCAGTCTTACATGGTAGACCTCGTTTATGTTTTTTACTTCTGGATTCATGTTAGATGGGAGTGGGGCCTATCAATTTCTGTTTTCTTTGGAGGGTCTTTTCGTCAGCTGGCAGTTGTTTCATCCGCTGCCATAATCACAATTTTATTGAAGACCTTATGCCCAGCGGATTCAATAGATATTTCTAAGATATTCATTTATCAAGGACTGTATTTAATTTTATCATTTATACTCTATGACTTAACTCCAAGGGGTAAAAGAAGTTTACTATTGAGTTCGAGATGATTATGTTTCTATTAAATATCGGCAACCCAAAATATGTTTTGTAGGCTGTTCTAGCATTGCCAACCCTATGTAAATACACAGTTTATCTTTTTACTTTCTCGCTTACAGAGTAAAGTGAAAGTATTGTAATTGTGCAAAAACAAAATCGAGATTTTTGCAAATCTCGACGTTTACACCTCCCTGAGTCGGAAAAACATAATTTTTTAATCTTGTCCGTATGTTTGTGTTTGTTTGTGTATGTGTATGTATGTGTTTCTGTAAACACGATAACTTGAATACCGTTACAGCTAGGTTTATGTAATTTCATATATAAGAATTATATCAAATTTGTAGACCCGTATCAAGTTTTGAGCGATTTCCAAAAAACGGAAGTGAAACTTTTTCTACCTTCAATTTTTCAAAAACCTATAACTTGAGTACTATTTCAGACAGATAAATGAAATTTCATATATAATAATAAAATCTCTGCCTTCTATAAAACTTTGAGTAACTTTGTTGACCGAAAATAGTAATTTAGGCTGTTTCCGATGCGAATTTATAAAGTATTAATAATGTTCCGCAATATTCTACACATTTTATTTGGTGTTCATTTGGTGTGCAATTCTTTTTCTTCGAGATTCTATTCTATTTTTAAAAGTTTAAGCAATTAAGTTTAAGTATTGGATTTAAAATATTGTCTATATCCCAAGTTGCCATCCCCCGTAGGGTTATATATGGATATTCAAGAAAGTTTTAGGGGAGATCATCCCGATTTATTGTTTTCGTTCTTCACAGTATTGACGAAATATCTGTATAATTTTTGGTTGTTTGGATTGGGACTTTCCTCAACGAGATGAGTTGATGTACCCAGCTAACGAACATCATCTGCCGAACGGTTCGAGTTGAGTTTCTCGGAAATAGCAATCAAACTTACTCCTATCCGACCATAATCCGAGTTACATATCTATGCTACTATGATGGAAGAAAAATACGACAATTTAAAAGTGCGATAGACTTGTCAGTTGTTAAGGGTAAAATTCAAATAGATGTGCCTTGTCTTTCTGTATTTGCTTTACCTTCTAGTTGTCACGCCCCCATCAACAATTTACAGGATGTAACATGTAGTTCTTACAAGTGTATTTAACTCTAAATGTGTATAAGGTTGTTAAAAAAACATGTTTAATTTTTCTCGTATATTCTGCAACGTTTAACCTTGGTGCATCCACTCTCTTTACTATGTCATCCGTTGCTGCCACTATAACGCCCCTTCCCCCCGTAATAACGTTAAATGGCAGATCTTGATACATAGTATATAATAAATCGACATCAGCCCAATAACACATGTAGCAAAAAACATTTTAGATGAAAAACGAATTTCCAAATGGTCAGATACTTGCTGTTTACTTAAGGGAGACATAAGGGGGAAAGGAAGTAACCCTTGTTAAGTGAATAGGGACAAAACACTACCTCGTGTTAGTGCTTATCCAGTGTGTTTACCTTAAAACCTTAACATAGATTTAAAAAAACAACTAATCTTACATTTTATTCCATAGAAAATAAACCGGGAGTGATCTCCCCAAATATTCTCGAATATTTTTATATAAAATAACAGGGGATGGGAACTCGGGCTATAGACATGATTTTTAATCCATTTTAAATACTTAAAGTTTTAAAAATAGAATAAAATCTCGTAGACAATAGAATTGCACACCAAGTGAACGCTAAATAAAAAAATGCAATATTATTAGTACTTTAAAAATTTACATTCGTTTTTTGAGAAATCGGAAGTAGCGTAAATTACTACTTCCGGTCAATTGAAACGACTCAAAATTTGACAGAAGGTAGAGAATTAGATCTTTTACTTACATGTGAAATTTCGTTTATCTATCTGAAATAGTACTCAAGTTATAGGCTTTTGAAAATTTCAAAGTAGAAAAAGTACCACTTCCGGTTATCGGAAATCGCTCAGAGGTCGATACAGATCTACGATTTTTATAAAATACTTATGTATTAAATTTCATCAACCTAGCTGTAACGGTACTCAAGTTATCGTGTTTACACACACACACACAGACAGACAGACACACACACAGACACACAGACAGACACACAGACATACGGACAAGATTGCAAAATTATGTTTTTCCGTATCAGTGAGATGTAAAACGTCGAGATTTGTAAAAATCGTCGATTTTTTTTTTGCAAGACTTACAAGACTTTCTCTATACTTCGTATATACGAGAAAGTAAAAAAGTTGAAACCAACACTCCACATAACCGTGGGCAATGTAAGATAAAATAGACACACACAGGCGAAACTGGTAGAAGCGGAACGAAAACATTATAAGTAAACATTATTTCATTTAACACTGAAAAGGTGGATAATGACTTTACGTCCTTAAGCTATTTGTTAAGTCATATTAAAATTAAATATGAGGAAAATATCAGCGAATTAACAATAATAGTGAAAATGTATGTTATCACCAAGAAAAGGGATATTAAATAATCTCAATGCGAGGGACATAATTAAGTTAAAACTTTATAGTTCTTTCATCAAATTATCCTGGAAAACATAAACGTGGTCCTAAAGTATTAATCTTTAATAACCGGAAAATACATATAACAATTAACTAACGAATAATAATATTCAAGAATTTAAAAAGATTTTAAAAAGTAATTATCGTTTCACCATCAGATACATCCTGTTCGCTTTGAACTATGATAAAGAAAAGCCTAAACTTCCAGTTTGTAACTGAATCGCACATACTTACATATTTCGGATACCAAAAAATAAGGCTCTTAAATCGATTACTCGTAAAAGAAAAAAGCCTAACATTTTTAATAGAAATATATAAACCCTCACGAATAAAACATTGCATTAAATATACAAATTGATAAAAATATCGTCTCAATAATATTGCTTTATAACAAAAGCTTTCTACACTGGAATGTAAAATTTCTTTTGCCTTTAAATTAAAATACCCGTAAAGCTAATAATATAATAGTTACAGAACCCAGTCGCTCAGACTAGAAATATCTAGTTTAGTATCCTACATATTTTAGTACGAGAAAAATTGCCCGTTGAGGGAGAAATACAAAGGGCGCTAGGTTGATAGTGTTGTCTTTTTTCTTTAAACCGAAACCAAAACCGAAATAAACATCTCAACTGCAAACTTAACCGGAAACGAAAAATGTCATTGAAAACGGATTTTTATCCAGAAGCGCCACGTTAATTGGATTTAAGTTTGATCTAGACGAAGTTACTGCACATTGATACTAAATATAGACGTAGTCATACTCTTAAACCCTACACCCAAGTTTAAACATCACAAAAGTTGCATTTAGAGTTTCTTTCAGGCGAATCAACAGGGGGGAGGGGGATTTTGAGACAGAGCCCCTCATCCTCGAAGCGTCTACCGTCCCCTATAACTAAAAAGGATTTATATAGAAAATGTATTTTTACCGATGTCCGCCACCCCCCCCCCCCCTCCTTTCCCAGAAAAATTTTTATGTGTTCTTTTCCTTGTTTTGACTTTGAACGTTTTAATATTGCTTGTGTTTTCTTTATATTGTTCCCAACAGAGTGACAGAGTGACAGAATAGCGAAACTATTATTATAGATATAAATGTATAGATGTTTTAATTTATAATACTTAATCTTTTTAGCCTAACATACATGGATATGGGTACAAATGAAATCTGTGCAGCTGATTTCATTGAGATATTTGATGGACCGTCGACACTTTTTAGGTCATTTGGGAAAATGTGTACAGCCCGGCAAATACTGACATTGTCAACAACAAACTTCATGCATGTGGAATTTAAGACATCAGGAAATGCGACATTTCTAGCTACCTATAAAATTTTAGGTAAGTATTTAATTTTTAAAATCTTTGAATACATAATAGTTTGATAATTTATTTTGTGTATGAACTTAAATATCTACCATATAAATGCAAATTTGAGGAAGAACAACTGTTGTTTTGTTAATCACATGTAAATTAAATCAGTTACTTGCAGATAAGCTTCACGGTAACATGCTTTGATTTCTCTCTCCTTTGTAAATAATCTATAGCTACCCCACCAGTAGCATTTACATTTATCAATATGTCACCTAGACTGACACGTACGTAATAAATAGCAATTTTAGAAATACTAAATTGACTACCTACCGACATTCCACTATCATGATATTTTCTATAGAATTTAGTAGGAATATAAAAAAATGAGATTGTTAGATTTGTAATATCGAGGGCTAAAACATGATCCGCATGACTTCTTTATTTAATATTCGAGAGGGTTGTTTTTAAACCGGGAATTAAAACTTTTTATTGCCCTGTTTTTTTTTTATTGACAAATGAATGTAAATGACATTTCAATAACAAAAATGTACTAAACTTTAGACTAAAAAGCATTCAGTTTCTTTAAAAATAAATAACGGACTAATAATAACACTTGTTTGACAGCCAATAAAATTAGTACGTACACATTTACTGAAAAGTTAGTTTATAAGCGCATCATAACGTGTATTCTGATATGTATATATATATATATATATATATATATATATATATATATATATATATATATATATATATATATATATATATATATATATATATATATATATATATATATATATATATATATATATATATATGTATGTATATATATTATATATTGTTAACACGGTAAATGTTTTTTTATACCCTATATGCCTATTAAAGTCAGAAAGGCAAGCTGTTTCCCAAATAGGTTCGTCGGACACTGTTTTTTTTTCAAATTAAATATGCGTTGTGATTTTTGGTGTGTAGAAAATGGAAGTGGTTTTAGAAAGAAAAAGCATATGACTATGTATGTTAAGATTAGTGACTCATGTAATATAAAAAAAATACATAGTAAAGTGAAAATGCACATTAATTGTCTAAAAAATATATATCATGTATATTTAAGCATAAGCGTAAATGTTATAACTGGGGATTATGTGTGCCGAAGCTATGCAGTGAGAGCGCTTACACTACCATTATATTCTTTCTAGCCATTCAGTAGTTCATCCTAAAGCACGACGACATAAATGCATACAAATCCCTTGATAGGATGAATTTAGTTGACTCTGCTGTTTATTACACATATAGTACATATAACGACCTGTACAAGCGATATTATAACTTGAATACATTTACGGCCTCACCCAAAACTACAATAACAAGACTACTTTCAGCTTCATTACCGGCAACAACGATCATCCACTAAAACGTCACAATCTTGCGTACCGCGTCACACTTTTACTCGTTCAATATAGTCCTGCAACAGCATTCATGCGCATCAATTTGCCTAACAAAGCATAAACATACGCGTAAAAATAAGCGTAGGCATTAGCACATGCAGAAGTTTGATTAATTTCATATTAAATGACGAAAGAGAGAGCGATTCCTCCAATACTTCCTTATACTTTTCTAATTTTTTTATTTTATTACTTATTCCGTTTTAGCTTTTTACTGCTTTAATCTCGAGATCTCTGAGGGGGTTGGTTTTCTTGGTTGATGAACAGAGTATTGAAGTTTTTAGATTGTTCTTAGTCATTTTAAGACGAGTCGTTCGTACACACCAAAAAATATGGAGTTCTTTCGTCGGCATGAAGCTAGTTGCAAACGTCAGAGACGATCAAAAAGAAAGTTTTCACCACGGAAATACAGCATTAGTGAATAAAGAAGAGTTTTTATTTTGTAGTGCACTTGAAACTATTGCAAAAAGTGAAGATATCATGGAGAAAACAAATAGTTTTTTTTTAACTTGAGAAGTACAATGGGAAAACTGCTGTGGGGTGTGTATTGATGATACGCTGTCAATGTTTGGGTCAAAATCAGGCTTTCAGAAAAAAAGTAAAAGATTTAGCGTCACAATCAATCTTACCCATCGCATTAAAACAGTGAATCTTATTTTATTGTATATTAATTTATTTACTAATTTCGACATTTAATACTAAGGGGGTCGCTGATCACTAACTATTTATAAAAGGGATCGCTACTCGTAAAATTATGGTAAACCATGTTTCAGGTACTTTAAAGGAATTATCAAATTGTTAGAAATAGTAATATCTAGATCTAGATGCTGAAAATATCTCTGCTTTTTTATATTTAAAAGGGATGTACTTAATCTAAGAATTATTTTATTTTTATTTTCACTGTTATTATTGTTCTCAAAAAAATGAAAGTAAATAGCTTTTCGATTCGAAAAATAAAAATATATTTAGACTAATAGATTTTTAAAAAGCGTTGTAAGTAGTAAACTAATATTAGCATTTGTCGGATAGCCAATAAAAGAAGGATACATACACCCTTATTTAAAAATATTTTTTTTTGCATTTCGTAACTCGTAATGTGTAATAGATGTGTATACTGTTAATATTGGCTTAACACAATCAAAAGCTTTATTCTATACGCCTAATAAATAAATTAGATTAGTGATGCAAAACATTTAAAACAGATGCACACTCCTTCCCTGGAGCTTTTTGTCGGATACAATGATTTTTTCTTAAACTTAAATATGCGTTGTAATTTAATTTTTTTTTCGTAGGAAATTATTTAGTTTTTATACATAACACTACGAATCATGAAAGCTAGGAATCAACACATTAGAGATGTCTTGATCGTGATGTGTACCTACATCTAGAAAATTGGGTACATATTGCGATTGTTAATATGTTAATAATAAAATAAATATAACAGAATAATAATAACGATACTTACATGAGTAAAGTAACAACAAACATAACTGTTAGGGTGGGGTTGATTAGAGGATCTACCGTCAGTTTTCAGGGTGGGGAAAAGCAGTACCACTAAATGTGAGTGTGGGGGTGGTTAAGATGAAATATAATGTCCTTGATTACAATTTAAACAATCAACTTCCTACTTTATCTAACTAACCTAAACTATATACTATTTGCTCTACAAACTACGCACTCCCATGACCAATCCTAACACACTACATTCTAACTCTCTACCTAACTCTACATTTCTCTGTCCGTTCTCCTTGCCTACGTATCACTAACTGCCGCTGATCTAACTACTGACCCACGCATCAGTGGTCAGCTGACCGTCCCACGTGACAGGTCAGCTCTTGTATTTTCATTGATCTCTCTAACCTAATTAGCTATAGCCTGTTTTAACCATTTACCCTGAACGCGTCATAACAATAACCTAGCTCTATACAACATATTGGTTATTCCTATTTATGTACAATGCTCATATAAATAATATAGCAAAACATTGCACAAAACACAAACGTTTAAAGTAGAATGTAAACGAAAGTCTGAAATCGAAAACTAAAGTAAAGTATGCTTTTCAAAAACTCGATCAGTGTATATAGACAATTCATTTTATTGTTTAATGTCAAAATAAACATTAATCAATTTAACAAAACATGCAGATACAAACATCACGCTAACCGAGCCTCAGGGTTTCATCTCTAGCCCTGGTTATCCACTGGGTTTCCTAAAGAACAAGTTTTACACCTGGACTATACAAGGCAAGCCTGATACGTTCATCATTCTTAAGTAAGTTTTCTGCTTATATCTTGCAATTACATATTAACTATGTATATATGATTATATGAATTGCAGTTGGAATGGAAATATGAATAGGAGTATGATTTTTAATAAGAATTGTATTAGGGATAAAAAAAAACCCACATATATGTATGTAAGTAATTAGACAAAAATGTCCTGACAGAAAACTGATACTAAACTATACAACTTTGGCTGTCACTATACAAACCTTAAAGCACTCGATGGACCTCAAGCTACGTCTTCTTAATGTTTAAGTTTATCAGTACATGACTTTATGAGTGTATGAGTATATGAGTATAAGAGTGAATGAGTGTAAGTTTGTATGAATGAATGAAATGATTCGAAATTGCACAAATGGGCGAAAGCTGGAGTAGGAGTCAATTTTGAAATCTGCGCAATTTAAATACAAATTGTTTTTTGTTACAGTTTAATTGATTCCAACTTAGACGTCTTGGGTTGTTTCTATAACTCCCTTAATATATACGATGGACCTACAGCTAATTCGTCATGTTTGGATTCCTGCTTGATGTCACCTCGGCTGATTGTTTCAACCAGTAACTACTTACACATTGTGTTCTACAGTACTAACTCTATAAACTTTAGAGGCTTTTATGGAAAGTACGAGATCAGAGGTATTTTAATATTAATAAGCCTAAATATTCAATACATTCTGTTCAACACACTTTCTTTATTCCGTTCCTATGTGGTGCTTCTCTGCATTCCATTTAAAAGGCTAACTTTATAAATTGTATCTAACAAGGTACAATACAGAGAGCATAAACCATATACAACCTTTAGCTTTTGCAAAATAAACATCTCTAATATAATGTGCTAATAATGTGCTATACAGTTGTTGGATAACTGAGATTTGTTTATCTGAGACTCCACAATGCTTTACATTTGTTTATATAGGTGACCCGGTGCACCGTCAAATCAACCCCGACAAAACGACCCAGTCAAAATAGCCCAGTTTAAAGTGCCTCGTCTTAATTGCTCCCGTCAAATGGGCTCCCGTCATATTGACTCTCGACATAATGGCTCCCGACAAATAGGCTAAGGACAAATAGGCTCAGGACATATTGACTACCGACAAATAGGCTCCCCATATATTAGCTCCCGACAAATTGGCACCCGACAAATAGGCTCAGGACATATTGGCTACCGACAAATGAGCTCCCGATACATTAGCTCCCGACAAATGGGGTCCTGATATATTGAATTCCGACAAAAAGACTCGACAACTTGGCTCAAGACAAATGAATCGCATAAAAGTAACCAGTTTGGCCTACCTCCGATACCACTATAACCTCTTTTAAATTTTTTTTTATGAACCAACATTAATTTACAAACAAATCGAGCCCTTAAATTCCACCAATTCTAACATTTTGATAATGTTTAATTTACAACGGTGAAGATCTGTTGCTTGAAAGCGAGCACAGAAGTGTAAATGTATGATATACATGATGTTTACATGATAACGGTATTTTGTTTTTTTGATAACCTACAAGCATAATGCAGGTAGAAATGTACAGCGTGGACCCTTCTCCCCAAACACTGAGTTTGAATAACCGATAACCGACTCATTTATGCAAGTCATAGATAGATGACCCTTAAATTAAAACATGGTATTCTTTATAATAGATAAACTATTAAAAAAATAACGCCTGCCGAACAAGACTTGCATACGATGTATTACTTATGAGTGTTGGATAAGCTAACCTTAAAGAATATTGATAAACGGGTCCCACTGGCAGGTGGCATATTCAATGAGATCGTTTCGCTCGGATACCGTATTGTCGGGGGTCCTTTTGTCGGGAGCCAATTTGACAAGAGCCTAGTTGTCGGAAGTTGTAATGACAGGAACCGTTTTGTCGAGAAAATAAATGTCGAGAGCCTACTTATCGGGAGTCTAAATAAAGGTGTTGCACTTGGCATCCGTTAATCGTGCGCCCTGAATAGCGGGTAAGGGATGCTACTATATTCAGTGTTTAAACGTCAACAAGCACAAAAGCCGGCGCCCCGTAGCTTCCACGACCCGTAGCGCCCCGGACTCCCCTGCTAGCAGTATGCGCCTAAGTTCGTTTAAAAAGATGTTATACGCTAAAGACACGATGGGCAACAATAATCATTGACTATATCGAACAAGGCGCGTCGCCCGGCGCCCCTGAAGGGTTCTATTTGGAGCCCTGGGCTTTCCCGTTAGCGCAATGGCGCCTGAGTTTGTTCTAAACAGTGCGAAAGACAATAGATAAGAAGGTGTGTTACAGTCACTCAATAAATTAAATCAGCCGTGTCAATAGCGCTCTGGTAGGGTATGATTCGGCTGCGAACTATAATTTCAGTTTCGGCTCCCAAAGGTTCACAAGGGCCGCAAAGGGTCATGTAATGTTTTATTTTTTTGGAAAAATCAGATAAATTAACCAAGGTTAGATTATTAACTGGGATGTTTTCTGTAGTTCATGTGACATGGATTGTCTATAACAAAAATGTGTAGGCACAGAGAAAGTGGTATGCTAGCGAGACAAAGTGTTTGAACGAAACAGTGTGTGAAGCAATGTGGTGTGGCGTCAAAATCGTGTGTATACTCGTCAGTTTTTTTACTTTCTCGTGCGACAAAAAAATCGAGATTTTTACACCTCACTGATACGGAAAAAACATAATTTTGCAATCTAGTCCGTATGTCTGTGTGACTGTCTGTGTGTGTGTGTCTTTCTGTCTGTATGTAAACACGATAACTTGAGTACCGTTACAGCTACGTTGATGAAATTTCATATATAAGTATTATATCAAAATCGTAGATCCTGATCAACTTTTGAGCGATTTCAAATAAACGAAAGTGGTACTTTTTCTACTTTGAATTTTTTTAAAAGCTTATAACTTGAGTACTATTTCAGATAGATAAATGAAATTTCACATGTAAATAAAAGATCTAATTTTCAACCTTCTGTTAAATTTTGAATAATTTCCGTTGAGCGGAAGTAGTAATTTACGCTACTTCCGATTTCTCAAAAAATGCATGTAAATTTATAAATTACTTTTATTATGCACATTTTGTTTTGGCGTTTGCTTGGTGCGCAATTCTTTTTTTTCTATGACATTCTATTATATTTTTAAAAGTTTAAGCAATTAAAAATCATCTCTATATTCCAAGTTATATAAGAATATTCGAGAAAGTTTAGGGAGATCAATCCCGGTGTATTCTTTATGTAATTTGTTCTTGTGATTCATGATACAGATTCTCGTTGTGGAATGTATTTATTTATAATTGTTACATTTGGCACAAACGAGCCAAAATAAATAAGAAACCAAGTGTAACTGTCCATAAAAAAAATCCAAACAAATCCAAAGCCTACAGTTCTCGAAATAATGAAAATATTTCAGTACAAAATTTTCGGAGGGCAACTCAAATCTAAAAAAAATTCTCACTTCTAGATATTGAAATCGAAACTCTAATAATACACCTTTGGAAACGCTTACAAATTGCATCAGTAACACTGGTGTGTTATAACACGTCAAATATTTTTTCTACTATGTTAAAGAAAAAATCATGTTCGTTTGTGTCACTTTTACGAATGACGCAATCATCATCATTGTTTCAGGAAGTTATTTTGCGCTCTGGGTTATCCCCTGTGAGCACTATGGCGCCTATGTTAGTGTTAAGGAGCCAGGGGTCTTTCGTGTTGTCTCTGCGGTAGTGTAATCGGGGGCTCCCGAGAGCGCCCCTCTACGTCCCTAACAGATGTGCATCACCGAAGTGTGTTCTACCTCATTAATGTACACTCAAGGTTTTCATGCGGTAGTGTACAAGGTCACGCGTCTTAAAATATTGGATTGGTAATGCATTGGTGAAACTCTTCTTATCTATTTTGGTCAATTTTACAATGTCTTCAACTAACCGGAAAAGAATACTACTGGTTCCTCTGATTCAACTGCATTTAACTGTAAAGCCACCAAAATTTATATATTGCCTGCTTAGCAAAAGAAAAATAAGACCCGATTACATGTACAATCTAAGGCTTCACGCAATCGAGATTCATACGTTTTGGTGGTTATATGAGTAAAGTTTGACTTCGTACAGTACAGAAGGTTTAAGCAGTGGAAAATGTAAACAAAATGTGCAATAAAGCACCACACTTATGTGCATCACTGTTATACAGACCAACACGAATGTTGCACATATTTACAATATGCCTAGTAAATTTGTCGACGACCTAACGAATCTAGATTGGACTATAGACTCTAAAATTATCTCTGCACCTTGTGTTAACAAATGGTTATTACGGCATAAACTCCGGATTGTGTGTAAATTACGAGATCAAAGGTATATGAGTTTACACACAATCCGGAGTTTGTGCCGTAATAACCATTTGTTAGCACAAGGTGCAGAGATAATTTTAGAGTCTATAGTCCATTCTAGATTCGTTACGTCGTCGAAAAATTTACTAGGCATATTGTAAATATGTGCAACATTCGTTGAATTTTTTGTTGAATTGATGATCAGTTTTATTTTTACGTTTCTGGCAGCCAATTATTATTTATTCTTATAAAGATAAAATAACTTTAAATGTTAACCAGATTCGATATTTTTTTCACTCTTATATTGCTCTAGGTTATGTAATAACTCCGTAATTGTCTTTTAATTACACAAGATTATATAAAGATAAATAATAAGTTAATATCTCGCAAATATATCCTTGCAATGTTAAACAAATTTTGTTTTATAGATTTAAATGAAGTCGTAACTGCCACAACTGGAACGATAACCAACACAGGAAATACTTCGAGTTCTTCTGCAACCAACAATACATGGACTATTCGAGGACCCACTGGAACCATTATAGCTTTCAAGTAATGTTTATCATATAATTTTAAGAAATTGGTATTTAAATAGCTTTACATACAATTCTAATGTAGTGTTGTTTCTAAAACAAAATGGGTGTTATTTAAGGGAACAAGATACCCATGTTTTCGATAAAATTTTAATTTTGCTCCCCAAAATTTGTATTTCTTAATTCGGTACTAATACCTTTTATCTATCTAACCCGAACATTTCAGACTTCTACAGCTTACGGTTATCCGTTTATTGCGATGTGAAACATGGTACCCCCCGGCACGTTTTCACACTACAACGCGGACAGCGGCTATCTTCGAGCGGGGTTTACATCATTTATTGCCCGCGAGGCAGCATAAACTTTACAGCAATCTAAGGGCCAAGCACTCGTGTACCCGCTGGTGTAGTGACCTTGTCTTTTGTTCTAAAAATAAGTGGGATAGAAGTTGTTTTCTACAAAGTAAAATTTTATATCAAACCCCATATAAGGGCATGCGCGTAAAAATTATGAATGGGAAGAGATTCATTGATACGCTTGACCAATCATATTATAGTACTTAAAATAAAAATAATTCACGATTGGTTGCAACTAACCACGTGTGCTAGGCAGCCATCTTGTTTCTAGATAAACAAAACAATCGCCTGTCTTAGTTGGTTTACTTTATTTGCATATACTCTTCTATTTGTTGTTTTAAAGTTATACAACAACATTAAGTTTAATAATTGAAACTTTGCCTAGAAATGTACTGTTGATTATCACTGGAACAATATCAAACACTGTTTCGTACGCTTTATACTAAGCTGAAACAATGCGTCATGGACATGACTATCAGTTGGTGAAGAATGTGCTGTCCATCCCCTTTACCCCCCTCATTCCCTTCTCGCCATTCAACCAACGGCCGGTTTATAATCTTGTTACGGATGCTGTGATAGGCTTGAACGCGTTCAT